TTCAGTCATAGGAAAAATATTTATTCGATACATTTTAATCATTCTATATATATATATGTAGAATTGTTGATCAGACTTGCTCTATGAAAAATAATAACACTATAGACTTAGAAGTAGTGTACAGTTTAAAAGCAATCATGGGCTCACTAGTGATCAGCTTCAAAAGAAATTCCTCGAGTTCTGGTGAGGAGTGGTTAACCAGTGGAGTTAAATCCGTGTTGGGTAGGAGACAGTTATGCATCGCAAGCAATGAATGAAAGTTGAGCGACATTATGGATTAATTAAAGTTAGACCTGAATGCAGACCTAGGGTCCGCACCCCATACTGAAGGCCTTAGCTTCGAATGCCGCATGCGTGCGTCATAGATGCACACTTTCGAGAAGTCTCATGCATTCACGAAACAGCTATTCAGTCATTCTGAGTTTCTAGTGGTAGTCTGGCTGAGACTAGTTTGGGATTGGGTCTCTCGGATAAATATACCAAAAGATTAATGCAATCCGTCTTTTTTATTTCGATCTAATAAATATTTAATTTCTTTACAATGTTTTGATCTGCGATTATGTTAGGATATTCATCCAATATCCTAAGAGAATTATTTTTGTAAGTCTAGTTCTATTGGTCGATTCCTACTGGTCAATATTATGGTCGTCCTAACTGTCAATGTCACATACTTCAATGTTGGTTCCTATTCGACCTAACTGTATAAATATGCATTATCTGTAACGTTTTATGACCCGGATCCTTAGTCCTGGATCCTTATCCTCTTCTAGATTCGGACCTTGTACTTTCTGAATGTTTGTAGAATACATGTTATACTTCATACCATGTTTTCTTCCTTTATTCAGTGGGGGTTCGGGACAGTCGGATCAGAGTACCCTGTCGTGTCTCTGGATTCTCGATCCTCACTCTCGTTTTCCGATTAAGGTAGACTCATATGAAATTGACGTGTTCACGTGCACGCGTAACAGATTAGTTTATAGACATAATGATCAAAATAATAATTTTAGAATTGATTAATTTTTTTCAATAGTCAATTTTAAATCAATCGCCAATATTATGAAGAATTACTTGTTTTAACTATTCGTATATATTCGAAAACCAATAATAATAATAATACTAATTATCAACTGACTTAGATTAAACTGGAATATGAGCACGAAGTTTAAACGGTTTTTTTTGCATCTGATTTACTCTTAAACCGTTACAAAAAAATATAGAAATTTATTAAAATTTATTAATAAAATGAGACTTTAAACAAGAATTGTGAGAAAATATTAAACTTTTTGATAGTTGAATAGAGCAGTAGATCAGCTGATAATAGCTACAAATAATTAGTTAAGCTGCCATAATGAATTCCAACATTTCACATCAAGCGAACATACTTTATGACCATACTTTAGTATGGTTTTATGAAGTAAGAGGAAGTGTGAGAATATTTATAACGAATAAAAACAGTATTTATTTTACGAGAGGTTGTGGAGCGGCTCACGACTTGACTCCAATGTGAACGAATGATCGAACTTCCTGTCCATTTCCGTACATCATACTTAGGCAAACCCTCCGTTTGTGCGATAGTGCTTACAACAAGCTAAATACGGTTTTGCGGATGCGCTTCTTTCATGCATTGATTTATACAGACAAAACATGAGAATCATCAATCAATCATTGTTATTAGACCACCATTAGAAACCGAAGGTCCCGGGTTCGAATCCTGCGTGGTGCGCATTGCCACTGATGAGTCCCATGTCAGGACGAAACAGCCGTCTTTCAGCGCTTCCAGGTTTCTAATGGTGGTCTAACAACGACGGATTGATGATTTTAAATGTGTAAAAACACAAATCTACAAAACTCTCACTGAAAAAAGAAACATGAGAATGGAAAGCGTACATGCAAAACGAAGCTAATTGGAGAAGGCGAGTGAGCCAAATCTCCAAAAGCTGAAAGATGACTAAGCATTTATAACTAAGCTATAATAAGCCAGACATGTGATAAGCGAGTAAGCATCCACACACACACTCAAATATACAATAATCGATAGTTTAGTCGAATTATTACAAATACCAAAAAAATGATGGATACAATTATCGAATAATTTAAGCGACTAATCATTGAAGTACAATGAATGGATGATGAGAAGCTATGAAGTCTTATGTAATGTTAGTTACAAACCACTCTTTTTTTAATCTTCAATATGTTTTAAAGTTTGTTTCGCATGATTAATTAATGTTCGCTAATAACCAGTTAGTATGCTTGTTTTGATTATCTCGTTATTAATATTTTGACTGGTCCATCTTAGTTGGTATATACGCCTCCTGTGCACATTGAGCATATGTAGTTATTAAGTTACAAAAAATTAGGCAGAATAGATGGAATGTGGCCAACAGTAGAATCTAGGATACGTGTTTCATCTTGTTTGCGACTTGTCATCTAGATGGAATCCAAATCACTACCAATGAAATTGAAATTCATACTCTTCACAAAACGGAGTGATTGTCAGGACTCACTAACCATGTGTATAGCACGTTTTAGTTTGAAGTGAAACATATTAGTGAACATCAGGTACATCTAGCTGACAAGTCGCGGACTGAATGAAGTGCGTATCCTGTATTCTTCTGCATGCTACATTCTATTTATTCTGTAAAAGTAGTAACATTTGTAAAATATGTTTGGTACAGCAGGTACATCAATAAACCAGTGACTATTAGGTAATTCTTTTCAATCACTAGTGAATTAGGTTATTTCTATGCTCTGATAATATAAATGTATCATACAGTGTTTTCCTTTTACAATCACTTGAATTTTTTACATATCACTGAAAAATAAATCAAACGTAATGAGTTAGATGAATAATTTTCATTTGGTAGTAAAACTATGATCACTCATACCCATATTCATCAAACAGTATGCAAAATATCTTACACTAAATGTTGCCATCAAACTTTAATATATAATACAGAACACTGTAGAATCATTGGTCATTCGTTTAATGGATTGAAAGTAAGCGGACTAATTTTTTACGTCAATGTAAACCTACGCCAAAAATATACAACCTCCCAATATGACGAAAAAAAATAAATAAACTGATTGTTTAATTCATCACACCTAATGGTGTGTAGCTTTATCAACAGTACAATATGATAATACTATATTGCAGTACCTACTTCTACATATTCCATAGATAGAAAAAATCTGTATTTTCCTTAAATGAACACTTCAGATAAAACAATAATTGATTAATTCTTAATGGAAATGCATTTGCTATATAACCACAGTTGCAGGAAAACAGCTGTTTATTTATTTTACTGGAATTTTGTTTTTTTTCAAAAAAATGAAGGACGAAACTTGATATTTATCTTCTGTATTTAGTCCGAAATAAAGAGGAGAAAAATTCCGGTAAATATTTCACTAATGAGTAATGGAATGCGATTCTATTTACATACAAATATATGAATTCAAATATGATCTATTGAATATTGAACAAGTGATTTATAGATTAAAACAAAGAAGGTATTACGGTTTACGACCACTATATTACGTTTATCCGAAAGTATTATATATATATATATATATATATATATTACATTAGAATCCTTGAACGTATACCGATAAATTTCATTGTTTAAGTGTTTTCACTCTCTTAATGTAGGGAATATATCCATATGATTGAAGCAAAGTTTGTCTTTTGTTATATTTCTAGCATAGTTGAATATATTATATTAC